TGCCGACTGGTGACACCCGGGGAAGAGCCTTCTCTGTGGGGGCACCAGCCCTCTGGAATGAGCTGTCCCTAGAGATTTGTCTCATCCCCGACTTGCGTACCTTTCACCACGCCCTGAAGACCCTTTTGTTCCAACAAGCCGGGCTGGCCTAATACGAATTTTATAATGGGTGTATGTTTGTTTTAATCTGTGGGCCAAATTTTTATATATTCAATTTTAAATTGTTTTAAATTTTGTAAATTTATATGTGTTTTAATATGGCTGTACACCGCCCTGAGTCCTCCGGGAAAAGGGCGGTATAGAAGTCCAATAAACATAAACATGAACATAAACATAAATAGCTTGAAATAGATCTATACTAGTCTCCCTTTATTTCTTTGTCAGTAAATATAAATTTAACACAAAATAGTTTGTTATGAAAGCGACTGCCTGAGGGCTCCTGGATTGGGGCTGAAAGGCAAAAAGGAAGCAGTATTCTCCTTCCCATATTTGGATAGACCAGGTTGCCTCGATAGAAAACCCATATATATACATATATATATCTTTTGGGGGACGGACTAACGCTATGGAGGATTGGCTTGCAGACTTTCAGAAAAATCTTAATTTCGAAATTAGAGATTATTATCAAAGAACCCTTTAATAGCAAGAGACGTCACATTTCATTTCCAATGAATGAATGAATGAATGAATGAATGAATGAATGAATGAATGAATGAATGAGCAGTTTCATTCATGTTAAACTACTACAAACAACAGTTGGGGCATTTAATTCAGATTGATACCATTTCATTGGAAGAGAAGGTTGAAGTACACCTATCCTGGGAAACAGAAAAAAAGATTTTTCCAGTTGAATGGCCCCAAGCTGTTATTAGTCCTATGCATATAGCAACACTATGTTGAGTGCAAAATGAACCATAGAACTACCTTAAGTATAGGGAAATTAGTGATAGGTTTACTATGCACAGTACCCAGAATAAAGAAATTCAAAAATCCATAATCAGAAAGCCCACTTAGTTGGCTTGAAATTTAAAGGGATTAACTAAATTCATGGAGAAGAGGCCTCTCAACAGCTAACAATTCAGAGTTCTTACATTTAACATTAGCTATTAGACCCATGTAGACATTTTTATGAGATTATGCAGCTGTTTTCAGAAGTGCTGCCAAAACCCTCCCCATCTCATGCTGCACTCTTTGTTCACATGGCTAGTATTTCATGGTGCCAGTATATAATGTGCCAGCATTTTCCCATCTGTTCATATGCATATATAGATGCTGGATTTGGTACAATGGCCAACAGCAAAATGTGCTTTCCGGAAGCAGCCAGGATAGCAAAGGCTATTTGGTAGTTGCCAGTAGAAGCAACTGCCAGTTTACAGAAAGGGAAACCAAACAGCTGCATCAGGAAGGGGGCTGTGGTTTTTTTTTTCTCAGGCAGGTGATTAGGTTGTCTAGGAAAAACAAAATAAAAATGATTTACTTGTATTTTTAGTGACTAATAACAAGAAAGATGCAGGTGGGTTTTTTCTGACATTGGAGGCAAAAATATTTGATTCAGCCTTTGAATTCAGCGATCGTTCAATTCACTTGTTTACTTTAAACCAGGGGTGTCAAACTCGATTTCATTGAGGGCTGCACCAGAGTTATGTTTGACCTTGAGGGAGAGTGGGGGGATCATGGCCAGAGTGGGTGTGGCCAGCTCAATATTACTCATGTCGGGGGTGCCTGTGGCGGCCTGAGCGCTCCTCCAGTGAAAATGGGCTCCCGAGCTCTGTTTTCGCCTGAGACCGCCTCCTGCAACTCTCTGCCACTGAAAACAGAGCTCGGGAGGGCCACCCATGGCCCTCCCAAGCTCCTTTTTCTCTGGCAGAGGCACCATGGGCTGATCCTTTGCTATTTCCAGGGTGGCCCCATGGGCCAGATCTTTTTTTATATATAAAAGTTTTTTTTTATTTTTTACACAAACAAACAATGCATTTTTTCTGAACAGAGTATTGGCCGAGTCACAAATTTGTACAGCTTTTAGTTATCTCCAACACAATTTATATATTTCAGTTTTTGCCATAATATTCTTTCTCTCTAGTTTTGATTTTATTTTCCTTGTTTCTTCTGATATATAACCAATATTACCATTTGCCCTAATCTTAATCAATTTTCCCCCCTTACTTTCTCCAAATTAAAACCCTTTAATTTGAAATCCATCATTTTTCTAATAGTTAACCTTAACTCTAAGTCATCCTATTCAAATATTTCCCCATTGCTCCCTTTTCACAACATAATATAATTACAAGTGTTCTCCCTAAATCCCATTATTCCAATCACAAATATTTTTCTTTGTCAACTTATCCAAATACTACAATCAAATATCTTACTACAATTCACTTAAATATATAACATTACAATAATTTGTTTCTTTTTCTCAGTTCCCATTGTTTTTTCACATAAACCCACAGGCCAGATCTAAGCACCCCACAGGCCGGATCTGGCCTGCAGGCCTTGAGTTTAACACCCCTACTTTAGACAATGCCCAGCAGATAATTAGGCATCTGTGACACAAGATCAAATTTTCCTCTATACAAGAGAAAGAGAATGTCTATGACAACCCCAAAAGTACAATGAATATACATTCACCTTCAAAGTCAGACAAACTATCCAGTGATAGAAACACACAAAAAGGTCCATCCTGACAAGTATTTGTAGAAATCCTGTTTAACAAATTAATTTCTTTATAACTTTTCTGCCTTGTCCACAACTGATAAATAATCCCATATTTACCAGGATGAATAAGTAGCCATAAATAACTCCTGTCACATTTGATTAACGGATTAACTGAAAATAACTATGTAAATTTCCTTCTAGAATTCTAGAATTTCACTACAATATTGAAAATCATCCCAGAGTCATGAAATCATCTTTTTAACTGGTCTTATAACAGGAATATGCTGGGCAGCCCACTTTCATAGTGTCACTAACAACTGAAGGCCAAAAGAGGGAGAAGTTTGCCTGTTTTTATGGAACTTATTGAATAACACACACACACACACACACAAATAAACCACTACTTCCACCGCCAACACAGAGATAATGATCAAGTCAAGCCAAGATTTACCCAGCCAGCTTTCATGTCTAAGGCAGGACTAGAGTTCATGGTCTCCCAATTTCTAGTGTGGTGTCTTACAACTGAGTGTAAAACTGGCTCTCAAACTAAGATTACTGTCAATCAATATGGTTGCCTGTTATAGCATATAAGAGCAGAGCTCTCTGCTCTTATGAGCTTGCAAATTATAATACAGTTGTTTGACCTGGTTTGCAAGCTGCAGCGATTCAATTATTCATCACAATTATCTAACCATGGTTTATTGAATATACCACAACTGATTAAAGTCCACACAACTTGCTTAGCAGAATAGAACCAAGCAGAATAGCACAGATGTGTTTGTATAGCGTGCTCAATTCTTAATGAGGGTTTGCGCCTCACAGTTGTTGTACTTCTCTAAAGTAAAAATCACAGAAACAGAGAGGTGAGCTAATGAGCAATACATATTTATATGTAACTGCTTTTATTTTTTTTAGGGCAAAAGTTTGAAAAATTGCATGGTATTTTGTTTTTAAAAGTGATAATGGCGCAAGACTTCTATATCAGATGAAATCTACAGTGGGAGAGTGAAGCTGATGGAGCTGGCTGGGATGGTGAAACTGATGGCTCTGAAAGACATTAGCTAAATTTAATACAGTTGGAAAGCCCTTTTGGACTGTTTGCATGAAGCAGAAAAAAACAAAATCATGAATATGGATTTGTGTATTAGTAATACTTATAGATTATTTTTTAAAATGGAGGTTACATGGTCATTGTAGAGCAAGAGCTGAACTCAACTTTTATTTATATCTGTTTTACAAGAAGTCAGAAGTCATTTTTATGTTTGTATTTTTGTTTTTATATTTTTTTTATTTTATTATATATCTCTCTGTCACTTCTATCCATTTTCTGTCTTCCTTTATTGATTTTCTATGAGTTTTTTATTTTTTATTTTTAAAAAAACTTTAATAAATTTATATAATACAATCAAAGCAGTTTTGGTGTGCCATTAAACGAAGGATATTTTTTTTAAGGCCTGCCAAAGTAAGCAAAGTTAAATTAAATGACTAGCCCAGTTTTCTCGACCTTTGTCACTTAAAGATATCTTAAAACCAGGGTAAAATCCACTTACCTTCACTAGCGGTTCGCAAATGTGAGCACACGCGCCTCCTCTACGCATGCGCAGAGCTTTCTGTGCATGCTCAGAGGGTCAAAAATGGGACGTGATGACATCTGGGCAGGTGGGCGGAGCCTCCCGACACCAGTACTACAGGTTCGCCCAAGCCGGATAGAACTGGCTGAATTTTGCCACTGTTTAAAACATCTTAGGATGTCACTTTTGCCCCTTTTTAAAAAAGAAACTTTAAAATGGAGGGAAGAGGTTAAGAAGTATGACCCAGAAAGTTCCAGAAGTCCTTGGAGGTTCTGAGGTATGGCCTTGGAGACCATTGCACATGATCCAAGAGTTGCTCATGTATATTAAATTAATATCTATAAAAGAATAGAACTAAAACACAAAGCCCGGTGAAATTCAGATAATTTCTAAACTGTAAGCAAATACAATTTATTCAGTACACAGAGGTTTATTCAATATATCGGAGTCATTGAAACTTATGCTTAATAACCACATAATATCTACTAACTTTTTGTACACTGAGCAGAGTAGTTGAAAGATGGGAATCTGGAAGGATACCACATCTGAAGTCTTGCCAGGGAAATACATCTCTGGTGTGGCCTGCTTATTCTTCTTCAGTTCCAATCTGCAGAGGTGATAAAATGTTTGAAGTTCCCTGGAGACATCTGACTATAACTTCTACCAGGGTGAATCAATTCTGCCAGCCACATGAAGGACATTCCGTTTTACCTTCATGACATCCTGTGGAAGGAAACTAGAAGAGCTTTCATTTGAATATTTTTTTTTTTACAGGTCAGCCCTTTCTGTTACGTGGAACCTGAATCCATGGGGCATTCTACAGCCATTGTCAGTCTTCCCCACTTACAGCAAAATCTATCTTTGAATATGTACGTACATATAATCCTTATTAATTTCTTAAGGATAACATTTTTGTGGGGCCAGAAGATGCTATTGCCTAGCAACTACAGTACATGGTCTGGAATGAAGGTTGGGCCAAAATGCCCAAAAGTGACAATACCAGAAGGCATTTTAAAAAAATAAATTCACGAGTTCCCTTTTCATAAATATGCTATACTAGCATTTTGTTAAAACTGAGGTAAACATCATTCTAGAATTACTCTACTTTTATACCTTAAATTAGCTTCCAAACACCTGACATGAAATATAAAGCTCGCTGTCAGAAGAGACAGATCTGTTTAATTTAAATGAAAAATCATTAGGAATAGCATGTGAATATTATGCCTTTTAATATACAGGATCCACAAAACCCTAACACTGTTTGCTGGAGCAGCTAATTACTGCAATGTCATGTGTCAAAGAAATACTTGGATTTGGATGACAGATCTAAAACCCAAAAGAGCTGATGCTGAATCTTAATATGTAATTTCCTGATGCTAATAAACAGTGCAATTATTCTGCGTTCAAAGGAAGATGGTCTTTTTGTGTGCAAGTGTATGGGTGTTTAACTCCTTTTGTTCCAGACCGTGTTTTTCTTTCTCCAATCTGGGATCCTAGCCTAAAGCTTAATCTTGGACTGAATACATCATGCCGATTATGCCAACCCACTTAGAAATGCCCTACATATTGCTAGGTAGGGATCCATTTGGCATTCTTGACAAGTTGTCTGTTCTTAAATCTGATATAATATTCACCAGAGCATTCCCGATTGTGTAACAGAAGTGTTACATAAAGAAGCTTCAGAGGCATTGCTCTGGTTTAGCACAAGGCACAAGAGCAGCTTCTGGTGTGGCCTGAAAGCAGAGTGTTGTGTCATACCCTCATTATGTTGCATAAATGAAACTATTTTTTTTTTTAAACCAGTACCTGGTGCTTTACTTTCTCATTCTTTATGTTTCAATAGGTCCGTCGCTTTGCACTCCTATACAGCTCACAGTCCGGATGAACTCAACCTGCAAAAAGGAGAAGGTGTTCGTGTTTTGGGGAAATACCGTGAAGGTTGGCTAAAAGGAATGTCACTGATCACAGGAAAAGTCGGAGTCTTCCCCAGCAATTACGTTGCTCCATTTTTCAGGTTTGACCTATGCTTTGTATAGATTGAGAGATGTAGTTGAAAATTGGAGAAATATCTGGAGAGGGACTCTTCCACAGCAGGGGGGAAAATGCCACTGTGGCGCTTGAATTAGTTTAAGATGAGTGAATAAGATTGGATGGTAGTGCTGCCTACATACATTTATCTCCTGATGACATGTAACCTTAATGCATCTGCCTGGAACTAATTTGGCCAAAAAGAAACAAAACATCAGTTTTGACTGCTAAGTTTCTTTCCCCCCACCCTTTCTGGATCTGGAAAATAGTTATATATTGTATCTCCTAATCATTATATGTGTTTTTCCTTTTCCGTAGCATAAAAGTTGAACTATACAGTAGTACCTAAAAATAATATTTTGTAGCTACATGGGAGTGAACAAATCAGTAAGGACTAGTATTTAGATAGTACAAACATGCTGAGTGTATGAAGGCCAGATGCATAAATTTCTGTAAAGAATCTGTATAAAAATAGTCACAGGTCAGTTGCTCGTATGATACTGAAATACCAACCCAAAGCTTGGTCTTCTTGCTATCCAGGATTCTCTTTTATTTTATTTTTAATGAATAGCTTATCATTGGTAATATACATATAATTACTCGTTCAAAGGGATAATTAAATCAAAGCTATGCATTTACTAATTGAAACAATGCATTTGCTACAAAATGTTGCTGTAGATCAGCACAAGGCCACAGAAGGACTAATTTGTTTTTGTTTGTGTGCAAGCAAATAAACAAGAATTGAGGTCTCTGGATACCCCAGTGAGAAGCTGATCCAGGGGAAAGCATCCACAGTCAATGAAACATTTTTTTTTTATTATTTATTTTTGCAGCGTTTGCTATGCAGGGTGTTTTTATGGGTAATTAAATAACCATTAGGAAACCTTTTTAACGAAAACCTTTATAAACTACTCGTTTGTGGCGTAGAAAGAAATGTGTTAATTTTAAAGATAACACATTTCTTTCTATGCCACAAACGAGTAGTTTATAACGCATTTCCTTAAATGCATGAAGGACTGCCATGGTTGAGCAATGCTCAGGACAGATCTCAAGGTGAACTTAGGGATAGAAAAGACATTACAACAATTTCAGTCCGGAAGATGAAATAGTAAATTACTATTACCTTCTGCAAGGTTGCAAGTTTTCATAAGACGTGTAGAAACTCCTACAAAGGCTTGGTTAACCTCCCCATTATTTACTCTTTTGAACCACATATTTTTAAAATGAAGCATATTTATTCTTTAACACATTCAGGGACATCTAAGCTAAATAACCAAAAAACTCAGTAAGAACTATTATATTTATGGAAATGAACACACCACTTTTCCCCATGAAAACTGCACCTTGACTATCATCTCTCACTGTCCTACGATTTTTCAAAATCTTGTCACCTAGAATCCCCAGTAGAAAGGAATGGGGATAAGGAATATTTTAAAAGGTAAGAAAAATGGAAAAAAGAATTTTAAAAAACAGGAAGGGGGAGAGGAGAAGCAGCTTGTTTATGTCCAAGCCTTGTTTATGATGTCCAAATTATTAAGAGTTATTTACAAAGACTGGTATATCAAGTCCTGTTAGCTACTTTGCTTACATAAGAGCCTTCATGTTCAGAGATAACTTATTTTGGTATTCTGTATTGTAAGCTACCTTGAATGTTGAAATGAGCAAAACATCAAGTTATAAATTCAATAATAAATAAATAAAATATATCAGATCAAGATGGACAAACCATATGGGAATTATGTTGCCTTCATGCTATAGCCTTCTGAGAGGTATAGTATCTGGCTATAAAAATGGTTGCTCAATTAAATTGAGTCTTAGTCCCATCTCGCACAGCACGAAATATGCCTCTAAACTATTTATTTCCTTGCTTACTCAGTTATTTACTTACAGTATTTTATATCCTATATTGCTTGCTCTCTAAGGACTCCCAATTGCTTACAAAATTGAACATAAAATCGCTAAATAATTAAGTTCAAACATAACTACATAAGCGTGCTAATGTCCATATGATGCAGTCATGCTTAGTTCCAGAAATCATAAATACTTAACAATAATTAAAAGCTTTGCAGGAAAGCTTGCATTTCAGAGTTTCATCAGGGACAGGGCTATTAAGAACTCTGGAAGCAAGTTATTCCACAAGGGTGGAGCATAAACTGAAGCACACCGATTTTGTCTGCCTCCCCCCTCTAGTTTTACAGGGAGTGGGAATCAATATCTCAACTTACAACAAACACACCAAATCCGTTCACCCTGAATTAGCTGAAACAAAAATCAAAGGAAATTTAATGAACACAGAGGCTCTTATCTTTTAGGTTACTCTGACTTAACGGACTCTAGTGGTGAGGCTAACTAGGAATAATAAAACATCTACAAAACTGCATGTTCCCCATCCTTTAGTCAGACTATTGAGACAATAAAAACGTATTTTCTACACAGTTTTATTTCACCAGAGGAAACCATTCTTACAATAGTTTTTATAATTTAGAGATTTTTCTCATCTTTGGCGGTTCTGAAAAATTAACTCTTGAGTAGTTTTAGTTTCTTGTTCCATATATTAAAGTTAGATGACAATATGCCTGAGGTCCTGTATAAAGCTGAAGCTACAGTTGAAAGCATGTGGAGATAAATTCCCTAATGCCCTAAATATGTTCTGTTTTAATATGAAATCAGCTCAAAGAAGCCTCTCTCCCCTCGAAATAGAAAACGGCTAATAGGGGTATGCTTAGCTGGCCTGACTATTCAGTAAAAAATGAGTTACTGAAGCAAACAACAGTCACTTGGTTGAGATAGGTGGCCATAGAAATTGAATCAATCAATAAAAATAAAATAATTCAAGGTAGTACAGAAATATTTAGAAGAGACCTTGATGCAGGAACCTTGATCCAACGGTTAGAGAGGTTTATTTTAATGGAGAAAATAGTTATAAAACAGTGTTAGAAGGAAATTCCTTGCGTTTTCCAGTTATTATACTACTATGACTTCTCAGTTTACTCATTCAGCGATTTGCTTTCCAGTCTCAGCCTGTTCTTGAAAAGTGTCCTCTCAATCATCATTAACTGAAAAATAAGATAATCTGCCAGTAACCACCGTTAACTGAAAAGTAAAATATAATGTACTACTTAAGGATGAGTAAAACTGAGCTCATCTTTCCATAAATGCTTCAGCAAAGTTTTTGATGTTTTTTCCTACATTTAGTGGAAAAAGCAAAATAGCTGAGCAGAATGTTAAAATATTCCAGATCTGAATTTGGGAATTTTTTTTTTTCTGTCATTCTTTTAGAAATCAAAACAATAATTTGTAAAAGAATATGTGGTCTTCCCAGCAATTTTGATAAACTGTGTGTTCAGTTTATGGATAAAAGCCAGTTCTGAGAAGTATCAAGTTCTCACAATTTAGAGGTTCTTAATTTTAATTTCAAGCAGGTCTGGATTTCAACTCATAGATCCAAAATTGACTGTTTTAGGTTTTATTTAAAACAACTTCCAGACTTTCCCTTCCCGTCTTCTTTTGTAAATTTTTCCTTAAAGATAAGATATTACTTGTCTATTTCTCTCCAAGATGAGATTTATAAACACAAATGCAAATGAACCAGTTGTAAAAAATAAAATAAAATTAGAAATAGGTACAGGTTGAGAGCACCTTCTAAAATGAAAGCAAAATCTAACCTTAAATAAAATGTGGCTTCCTTTAGTGCCTAGTCTCCTTAATCAGAATGGATAATAGTAGAAGAGAAAGGACATATTTGCTCACAGTGCATCTCAACCATATTAGCTAGGCAACAAATGAGTTTGAATGGATCTCTCAAACTCTTATATTAATTTTGAGAGGACAATTTGTCATTCTTCAAAATGGTGTTTCTTGAGATGATTATGTTATGTTTGGATAACTGAATATTGTAATCCCTGAACATATGAACTTCAGGTAAACAGTGGAAAAAAAATGACAGGTTTTAGATTGTGGTTTGAGATGTGGAATGCTCAAACAGCTACCTAACTAACCATGTTATTACTTTATGCATTTCTTCCCATGTGTTTAAATGTTAAATGTTAAATTGCTCAATTTAAACTGGAAACACCAAGGCCGCTTTGGGTCCAGAATTATGCATGCTGATATACACTAAATTTCTTCCCAATAAGGAGAGTCAGTTATTCTTCATTTTTCAGGCACATTTTATTATGAGGTAGCCTCCAATCACACTCTGGCCAATAAAATCAACAATCCAACATAGATCCCAGGAGATTGGAAGCAGTTTTACAAAGTACCTTACTTATGAACACTAATATTGTACATCATCCTTTTGAAACAAGTTCATAATAAACTGACAACTTCAATATTGTGACGAATCATTGTCCCATGATTAAATCATTTTTTTCCAAAGCAAAAGCTAAGCTCTGTTATCAGAATGGACTACAAGCGATGTTTGTTCTCTTCTCCCTTAAAAAGAAGCACAAATACTGCTGTTTTAAGTTCACAGCAAATCAGGACCACCTAGGTTATTAAAACAACTCTGCTCATGCAGAAATTGCTGGCAGTCTCAACAATTTAACAAATTTAAGAGTTCTGTGACCTTGTTGGCCACGTCAGGGGAAAAACATGAGCAAAGAAACAATCAGATTGGACTGCAACAATTTTGGAAGGAAGAAGGGGTGGACCAGGGGTGAAATCCAGCAGGTTCTGACAGGTTCTGGAGAACCGGTAGCAGAAATTTTGAGTAGTTTGGAGAACCGGCAAATGCCACCTCTGGCTGGTCCCAGAGTGGGGTATGAATGGATATTTTACAATATCCTTCCCCCAGGAGTGGGGAGGGAATGGGGATTTTGTAGTATCTTTCCCCTGCCATGCCCACCAAGCCACGCCCACCAAGCCACACCACGCCCACCAAGCCACGCCCACAGAACCAGTAGTAAAAAAAATTGAATTTCACTACTGGCATGGACCCATAGTTGGAAAATAGAATTATAAGTAGGAAACAGAATAATTGATTGATTTTTGTCTTTCAAGACCATTGCTTCCTCAGTGCTTCATCAACAAGCTTTTTTAAGTATAAGCAGTAGACTCTGTTTGTTTTTTGCCAATTGGGCAACAGAGGTACAGTAATGCTGGCTGTTGATGAGGGGGGCATTTCACCTTAAAATTTTAATAATAAAGAATGATCCTTTCAGAATCAAGCCTAAATTGTTCATTCCTAATGCTTTCCCCCCTTAAAAGCAAAGCTTAATTAACATAGCTTGAAAGTTACTTTGTCAAAGCTCCCAATTGGGGTTACAGTAAAGAATCAAATACCAAATGGCATTAGACTGGCCACAGCCTTTATAATATACAACTGAAGATCAACCTTGCTTATAGAAGATCAACTGAAGCTTTCCATATTCACATAAGTGTTTGTCCCTTCCAAAGCTGTGTTCAAGCATAATTAAACTGCCTCAGGCCTTGGGTAAAGGTTCTGATATAAGTAGGTATTTCCTGTAATTGTTTAAAAATAGCTAACTGAGCTGCTCTTCAGTTCTACCCACTGCCTGAATATAAATACTTTTTCCTGCAGAGGGGTCTCCTTTTCAGTTATTAGCATATGTTCTGCTTGTGGGCCTCTAGAAATGTTTATTGTCCCTAGTACTATTAGAAAAGTCAGTCTGTTTGGGTCAGTGATGGTCCGTTCCCATAACTAGGCAAGATTCTGACTAATATCCTGTTTGTGCCTCTTTGTTTCTTGTTTCTTGCATGTTTGAAACATCCCTGTCCTTATAAGCTTTGCCTTAGGGACAATGTCCTCATGAAAATTGTGAGTTAGGCTGAAGAACAGTTCTAGACATAGTGATTTCACAGGCTCATTCTCCCTGACCATTGTTGTTGTTATTTTTGTTAGTTGTAAAGTCATGTCCAACCCATCGCAACCCCATGGACAATGTTCCTCCAGGCCTTCCTGTCCTCTATCATCCTCTGGAGTCCATTTAAGCTCACACCTACTGCTTCAGTGACTCCATCCAGCCACCTCAGTTTCTGTCATCCCGTTCTTCTTTTGCCCTCAATCTTTCCCAGCATTAGGCTCTTCTCCAGTGAGTTACTTCTCATTAGGTGGCCAAAGTATTTGAGTTTCATCTTCAGGGTCTGGCCTTCTAAAGAGCAGTCAGGGATGATCTCTTCTAGGACTGACTGGTTTGATTGCCTTGCAGTCCAAGGGACTCACAGGAGTCTTCTCCAGCACCATAGTTCAAAGGCCTCAATTCTTTGGTGCTCAGCCTTCTTATGGTCCAACTTTCACAGCCATTAGCTGACCATTAACCTCTCCAAAGCTTACCACTCCGAGTCACCAAATGGGTCCTTCTTTTTTATAGGAAACTGCTGCATTTGAAGGTTCCATCTCACACACGTTTGAAACCTGTTTTTGTCTACTGAAAAAAAATCAATTTATAAACTTTCCTTGTTATATTATTTTCTGGGAGACTGAATAAATTTTGCATCTGTTCCCATACACATCCCTCCATATAAACTACAAAACATTAAATTAACTCTCTATAATTATTATAGTTATTATCTTCGCAATCTTTTCCCTCCACTGATTTTTTTTATTTCTGAGTGATTTACTTGGGTAATGGATTATTTTGGTAATTCTGAATCATTACATAAATTGTCCATCCACAATCACTACCCATCTCCCATCCCACATTTTATTTAACATTGCTTGTTTTCAAGTAAATACCTTCAGCCTTATAAAGCAGAACTACAGATACCAGTCCCATTACCCTTTTCCACCCAGTCCAGTGGACAACTTTCTTTTAATTGTATAAGTGCATAGTGGGAAAAAATAAATTCTACAAGTAATTGCAGATCTTTGATGAGGAGAATTGCAGCTAGCTTACAGGCTAAACAGAGGAAGAAACATTTGTATGAGGCAGAGTAGAGCAATAGTAGACTAAAGCCAAAAGCTAAAAATAAACACACTTTAAAATATGATTAATTCAAATTAGCAGACTCGTCAGTCACAGAAGCTTGCAAGCATTCCCATACAATGAACGTGTTTAACCTGCTAAAGGATTTATGTTGTTAATATTTATCAAAGTAATAACTGCCTGTGGGGATACACCTGAATGGAACTGCATATTTTTGAATTCGATTTTTTAAAAATGTTTTGAATTTCAAAATTTCTTCAGTTTGAAACAGGCTGCTTTGATCTCTTAAGAAGTGATCCAATCTTATGTTGATGAAGATTCTCAGTCATCCAGATAGAGTGGTCTGGAAGTTGAGTCATGGTAACTGAACTTCTTGTTGGTTCAAAATATTTTGCTACTTCTCCAAGTCCCTTCTTCAGATTGAGCAAGTTGGTTAGAGGGACCCCATAGATGGGCTTGTTAGGTGAGTAGGCAGAGTAATGTTGGGATATAATGTTCCAACTCCAAAATCCTTTATCTTAGGTGGGTCATTAAGCCTATCCAGATTAGGTGAGAAATGAAACCTCTCTGGAGGACATATAGTTGCCATGATTATAACTTCCAGGCAATCCAACCTTATCTTACTAGACTCTTCAGAAAATAATCAAAACATGAATTGTAAGGTCCGAACAAAATGTCTCACTTTCTGTGAGAATCAGATGTTTCACATGCGATAGCACTTCAAATATTTATGGCTGGGTAGAAGAAGTAATAATAGACATGATCTATATATCATTAAAAGATGAGTCATCATGTTTTATTTTGCTTTGTGGAAATGTAAAACCTGCAACATTACAATTCTCAATGTCTGGAAGAATGATGGGTGAGAAAATCTAGTGTTTATTTAAATTAAAAAAAGATATGTAAGATTAAAATAATCTGCAAAAGTATTTTGGTTCAGAATGTACAAATGTTTGCTGTTGTGAAATGATCTGCCTTTTCTAATAAAAAGTAAATAAAATTCCTGAATTTGAATTGTAACATATGTTTCCTATGTAAATGACCTGAAAGGTATCTGCTTGCTAATGAATCACCTTTCTCCCTCTTTTTTTGCTCTCCCAAACAAACAGAAAATCCTCCAGCTTCCCTGATTCAAAGATGCCCTCCCTTTATGCAACTTGGACATTATCTACACTTTCATCCCAGGGAAGCATCTCAGGGAACCATCCAGGGCAAAGCAGATCTTTAAAATCTCTGGCTTCACCTGTGAGGAATCTCACTTTGCCCAGCGCTTCAGGGCACACGACATCACTGAGAAGAGGACGGAGTAGCAATAAGAAGAGTAAGTCCTAACATGAGAAACAAACAAGTGGGCCTGCTCCCCAAAGGCAGAGATATGACGAGAAATCTTTAATTATACATTAAAACGCAGGGTGAATGTAGTAAACATAATAAGCTGGATCAGAAGTCTGCCCTCCCAAAGACAAGAATGTATTTATACAGTGCCTAGAAGATCTGAAAAGTGTAGGAGGATCAAATGTTTAGACACTCTGTGACAGATAAATTTTTATGAGGGGAGAAATCAAGTTAAAATTCTATGCCTCCCTGCTATGTTCCATGTCTTTGTTTAGAGACTGAAGGGATAAAATAAGAAATGTTGGCAGCAACTTTAAAAATCTGATGCTATATGGTTCTTGGAAACTGAACAAGGCCAGTGTTCACTCCTGGAACAATATTTATGTAGAATTACTGTAGAGTTATATTGGCAGAAAATAATCTGCTAGGCACAAAAAATGAGCTTGGAGGAAAATAGTAACTATTATTAGGCATCATAATTGAACATGGTATTTTACAGTCCATTATATGCATTTGTTTTAGAACAAATGAAATGCTTAGCAGAATCCATTTGATTCAGTCTTCAAATTAAATGCACAAAGGGTATGAATGAGACTCTTACTAAGAACTCCTTTCTATACGCTTGTTTCTATTTGGGAATTGGTGAGTTATTCTGAAGCCTTTGTATCAGCATCTGAACAGTAAATACTCTCTTCTGCCTTCTTTATTACTAATACTTTGGGCGTTTGTTATTCATTTGGGCATTCTAAGGAAAAATTGGGAGAGTCACCAAGAAACATCAAAGTTGGAGCTTTTGAATAGGTCACAATTTTTCTACATTTTGCCACAGAGCAGCATGTATAGGTGACACTTAGTTGCTCCCAATAGCTATTTTATTTAATCAATCTGCTGCAGCCAGTGCAAAGCAAGACAAATGACAATACAAAAAAAAATGGGGGGGTGGAGGCAAATAAAAACTACGAGTGATGAAACCAATGTGGTTTCTACAAATAAAAGAAATGAAATGAGTAATCAAGTGAAGCAAATTCCATGATCCCATTTACAAAGTACATAGTTAGAAAAACATGTCTGTGCTTCAGTCATTAAAAAAAATCCTTAGAGAGAGAAGAAAGACAAATACAACTTTAATTGGATGAATATATGCAAGCTCCAAGGCACATGCTGAGTACTTATTTCAGTTCAAACCTTCAACAAAATTCCTGCTGAAGCTTGAGTTTGAGTAGGTATTTAAAAAGAGGAGAGTAATATACGGGCATGTCTTCCTCTCTGTCAGACTATTGTTCATCTTAGTCCAGTGCTGTCTCCTCTGACTTGCTAGGGTTCCCAGTAAATATTTTTCATGTAAAGTCTAGACCAGTTGTCTCCAACCTTTCCAGTTCTGTGGACTGGCAGCAGTGGCATCAGTGAGGGGGGAGAGGGGGTGGTTTTGCATGTACTGCTTGCACAAATGTAGCTTCATGCATTTGTGCTCGCCCATCCCTTGCACATTCCTGTTCCCAATGAGCTGTGGATCGGTACCAAGCCACGAACTGGGGATTGGGGACCCTTGGTCTAGACTACTGAACTTGCATTTCTAGGATAAAACACTAAGCACTAAGGCAAAAGGGAAAATGAGTTGAATCAGTGAGACATATCATTTTCCTAGTAGCCAATGGAACGAGAGGAGCACAGATTAAGCTGCCTCCTGGGGTTCATTAGTTCTGGAGAGAATGAGCTTCAAACATGCTACATGCAAACCATGTGCTCTACTACAGTGTTAACTCACCCTTGTAACTTCCTAACAGCTCTTTGCGTTCTAGTAGCATGCCACATAGTGCTGATCAACCCAAAGTCTGGAATTCAGTTAAATCCTGCAATTCAATGAATTTCTCTCACCCTTTTTAATATGAATCCTCATATTATGAATTCTCAACAATGTGGTTTAGAAGAGCTTATTGTTATCTTAACCCTCCTCTCTTTAATTATTTGTCCTCCCAGGTGGATCTTTACAGAAACCTTTGCAACCAGGAGCCCTTATTCCTTTAACCAACTCTCTTCAGAGACATCCTCCAACTCCAGCACGATCTCAGCAAACTCCAATATATCAATCTATTTCCTCTTTGCCCCGAGGAGTTGGCATGGGTGATACAGGAATCAAACTGAGCATCTGTAATAATTCTTCCTTAGTGCTATTGCCCCGAAACGGAAATAGCAGAGCTCCTTCTGTGTGTAGCTCAGTCATTTTGGATACCAGTGAAGTCCCAAAGAATGAACTAGCTGTGAAACCACCTGTATCTGCTCCACCTTCCATTCTGGTGAAACCAGACACTTTGAAAAACACCACTGAGAAGGTAATAATAGAGTCTATCCCTGCAATAACAGAGTTATAGTTCTCAAATGTTAAGTTAATACCAACTATTGGCAATTTCTTTTGTAATAATTTAGTGGTATGTGTTATACTTTTGGGACCAAGACCCACATTTGGCCTATTAGCAATAGCACTTAGCAATAGCACTTATTTATTTATTTATTTATTTATTTGTTTGTTTAAATTTCTATACCGCCCTTCTCCAATATAGGACTCAGGGCTTAGACTTATATACTGCTTCAGAATGCTTTACAGCACTCTCTAAGCGGTTTACAGAGTGAGCATATTGCTGGGTCCTCATTTTATCAACCTCAGAAGGACAGAAGGCTGAGTCAACCTTGAGCTGGTCAGGATCAAACTCCTTGCAGTGAGCAGAATTAGCCTGAAATACTGCATTCTAACCACTGCGCCACCAGGGCTCTTCATTGGAAAAAGTCTAAATTTAAATTAAACATAGTTGATATGTTTCCCTCATATCTAATGATTTCTCCTCTTCTAATCACATTAAGAATTATGAGTGAGAAATCACTCATGATTTCTCAGGAAGCAGTTCTCAACCAGGTAGACAAATCTACCTTATTTTTTCAATAAAAACACCAAGTGTATACAATATACAGACTGTTTTCCTAACACATATGAAATCGTCCTTATTCCTGAAGATTATATTTTGGAGTTAAATATGTTCAAGACTGAAGTTAACTGGAGTTAATAAACATTTTTTTATTACTAACCTAGTACTATAATGCTGATAATATACATTGTATTATTTAAAATTTAGTTAATTTCACAAATACTATTTCAGTGTTCTTCAGAAGAACATTGTAGGGTACACTGATTTTACTTCCATATTAAATCAAAAGAATGATTTTACATAAATCTACTTAAGAGTTACTAATCTGTACTTCCTAGTCCACAGCACAGTTTCTATTCCATGCAAAGGGTTTCTCTCAGCTACTGATCTCTCTTATTATAATCCAGCTATAAATGGCTCAGTAATTGTGTAGAAGACTCACATGATGTACCTCTCAGAAATGTTTGCTTCTTTACAAAAACATTCTAAGACAAAGCTAGTTCTGTAGCAGAGGTGGGTTTCAGCAGGTTCTGACCAGTTCTGAAGAACTAGTAGCGGAAATTTTGAGTAGTTCGGAGAACCAGAATATATCACCTCTGACTGGCCCCGCCCCCATCTATTTTCTGCCTCCCAAGTCCCAGCTGATCGGGAGGAAATGGTGATTTTGCAGTATCCACCAAGCCACACCCACCGAGCCATGCCACACCCACCAAGCCACACCCACAGAACCGATAGTAAAAAATTTTGAAACCCACCACTGTTCTGTAGATACAACTATTAACTTGCCTTTCAAATTTCTGCCTAATATGCTCAAGTATTACAGATAATATTTTATGAGAGAGATAAAGTAACTTGTCTTTTCACATTTTTCTAGGGAAATTGTAGAACAGAATTTACTTTGCTTGTTTGGGAACATGTTTCTACAGTGGCATAGCAATGTTTCTGGAAGCCTTCTGGGAATAAATTAACTCCAGATTTCTTCATTCTATTTTCAGCAAGTGAAAACAGTGCGATTTCAGAACTACAGCCCACCACCGTCCAAGAGACATAATTCTATATCGTCACTGAACCTGTCCAATGGCAAGCCTGAACAAAGAATGATTACAGAAGCAATACAACCAGAATCAAACATCAAGAGCCCTGAAATATCAGCTTTGTATTCCCATCACATTATCTCTAGTTCAGCTCATCAGAAGAGAATGTCACATCACAAGACCTTGCCACTGGACCTGTCTAGCCAAACTGGTCACCCAACCTTTCCTACAAAAAAGAATTATAATAGCATCTCTGAGAATTAAGAAATTTAACCTTATTTAATGGGCTTTATTTTGGACATCCATTATTACTCATTGTTTGTAAGGATCAGCAACCAGATGCGAGATAGGCTCTAGGTCCGATCTGCTACTTTTTAAAATGTTTAAATTTTTCTAACGGGCTCAGCCTCTTTAGAAGACTAGAATCTCACCAATGATTACAAGAGTTCACCAACAATATGGGAAGTTCTTGTTTTGTGTGGCTCAGAAGTAAACCTCATGCTGCATGAGCCTGCAATGTTCTTCAGATGCAAAAACTATCCCAATTGTAGTGTCAATTCTATTATCACTGTTAGTTCTAAAAAAAATAATAATAAAGGACTAGGAGCATGGAGCCGATTCAAAATCCATATTGCTCTAAGTTCAAAACCTCTACAATTAATTTGTAAACAGGAACAAATAGAATTTTGCTTCACTTTGCTTCGTTTTGTTTCGTATTCTAACGAGCTTTAAGCATGGTTTAGCCACCATCCTTTCCTTACTACTTATGAAACTGAGCTATCACATCTTTCTTATACCTTAATGTTTCCATTTGCACTTTCCATTTATGTTAGAATTCAGAATGCTTATTTTTTTAGAAATTAAAAATCACTCGGCTTCAAAAACATTATCTCCAAGGGAGGTAATGGAATAGACTCACTGAGCAATTCTCACTTAATAGAAGGACCTATGAGTCTTTCCTTTTCCCTGCATGCAGGCTCTCACCTACACAATGATTGATGGAGGCCAACCTCTCAGATTCTCCCTGTCTACCCAGCCTCAGCAATAAAAAGAATCACAATTCTATCACATAAACTAGCTGTGACTGATGTTTAGAGTAGCGCTATATACGCAGTTTGATTTTGTTCCCTTTATTAGTTCAAAGGTTGTGCATTCTAGCCTGAAGTAAACGAGCAAGTTTTGTCATTGCTCCTGCGGTGTCATTTCAATAAATGTTGGAGCTAACAGTCTTGGATGATTGCATAGAACCAATGAAACTAATGCAACACTGGATGTCTGTAACTGGCGTACAGCATAAGGAAAGTTTTCAAGAACAATGCATGTTCATCTCAATATCTTGCCAAGCACAAAATAATGTATTCTTCTAGAACCTACACTAACTGCCTCTAAACGTTTGGAAAGTAAGAAAATTAATATTTAATTAATATTTTATTAATTAATATTAATATTTTATTAATATTTTATTCCAGACCAAATCATGTCTGGAAAAAAACACTTTAGTTTGCATTCTAAAGGAGCAAAAAAAAAAAAAAACCCCAAAAGCTGCACCCCAGGTTACAAGATAGAAAAAAAGAGGACATATTATCAGCATGTTTTGGGAGCAGGGAGTGATTTTGCTGCCTGAAGACCTCTAATGTGGCTTGAGGCAAGCTCTTCTCCCTGTTGAATAGCAGGTTTGATGCTTTATTTTACCCTTTTTCTCTTGACACACATGCTAATATACAGAAGAGCTACTTCCCAGATGTAAGATAGGTTAACCTATAAAAGTGGTTGGACCCTGGAGTTCCAGCGAGATGAGCTTTAAGCACAATTCTCTGATTCATTAGGACTCATAGTGCTAATAATCTCCCCTGTTTCCAGTTCATTCTGGGACTGCCAGAATGCACTAACACATCAAAACACATCATAGAATGTGCAAAACAGAGGCAGAAATGCTTCGTCTTCTGACTTTACCCATGGTATCTGTCTACAAGTGCTATTTTTAAACATGGACATCTCTAGAAGACAAGGGGACATTGCATAAAGTTCTATGAGTCTTGGCTTCTGGGCAGCTACAAGTTCTGCTACTAGGTTCCTGAGTTCAGAAATGTGTTGGCCCACTCCTACAGAACAGCTCACAGGACAAGAAGGAGTCACACAAACTCCAGGTCTTCCTTGTATTATATAAAGGTTGGGTAATGCCTGCAAAGAGCTGTGCCGAGTGAGTGCTCTGTTTCTTGTGAATAATTTGTAGGAAGGGCTTACAGTAGTTCATTTAGTGACTGTTCAAAGTTACAACGACACTGAAAAAGTGACTTATGACCATTTCTCACAGTTACAACCTTTGTAGCATCCCCACGGTCACATGATCAAATTCAACCAGTTGCTTGGCAATTGGTTCATACTTACAGGTATGACCATTGCTCTGTCCCAAGGTCAAGTGATCACCTCTTGTGACCTTCTGACAAGCAAAGTCAATGGGGAAACCAGACTCACTTAACAACTATGTGACTAACGTATCAACTGGAATGATTCACTTAATAACTGTGGCAAGAAAGGTTGTGAAATGGGGCAAAACTCACTTAACAAATGTCTCATTTAACAACAGAAATTTTGGGCTCAATTGTCATACATCAAGGACTACATAAATACACACACAGTGTATACATATTTATACACTCTGTGTGTGTGTGTGTGTGTGTGTGTGTGTGTAGCTACTAATGCAAGTCTGATTAGCATTGCAGTGTGTGTACTTATGCCATTTCGTGTTCTTGGTTATCTCATCAGGGTTGTTAGATATGCATGCAACTCTGAGCCCCATTTCAGTTTGCCTTCATCCAGCCCGTTTCATAAAGCTTGCCTTCTTTTAGAAACAAGACATGCTACATGAGCAAAACTCCATGGGAAAAGCCCTTCGACAGACCAGGCTTAGATTTTAAAATCATCAACTTAATGCACTGCTGACCTCCAGGGGAAGAAATGGCGACATGAAGCAGAGCCAAAACCGCATGGAATAAAGTCACTTACTCTCAGTCCAATTCAACTCACAGGGTGGTTATTGTAGGGAAAATAGGCGGGGGAAAGAATATTAGGGATGCTCACCACCTTGAGTTCTATATGAATTTTTTTTTAAAAGCTAAAGGAGAAGAAGAAGAAATTACTTAAAGGAGAAGGACGCTTACATTTGATTTACTAATATGGAATGAAGGAAAATATTTTAACATTGGACATATTCAAGGATATTTTTGAACAATGGGCCCAAAAGCTAATTCTAAGAGCATTCGTATTTATAGATAGACTGTGTTTAAAATATATTATGGAAATGGAACAAGTTTTACCAGAGAAGGCTGTGATTGATCTGAAAATGGATTTTCAAATGACAGGCTTCAAGAATGATGTGGAAAAAGAGGCTACACTGGACATACAAAAGAAACAGCTAGGGTCTTTAAATTAAAAACGATAATCAAATAACAATATACAAATAATTAAAAAGGATATATAAATAACTAACCAAAAGAGTCACCTGAATAACTTTCTTATGCTGGATTTACAAAAGGCATTTGTTAAAGCTTTGAAGAATTGTGTGAGAAGAAACAATGAAAAGAAAAAAATAAATCAGTTCTAAGACATTATTTGAAGGGATTAAAGATCAAGATTGTTAAAAGGAAGAAGTATAAAGTTGGCTTAGTTGATCAAGGTTGAAATAGGTAGCTTGTTATCTCTAATAACCCTTAAGGGACTTTTGCTGATCAGGACTGAACAATGAGGCTGTAAGGATTTGTTACTTAATAAGAGATGGATATGGGAAGAAGAGCTCATTTGTTGTATTTTAAAAGTAGGGGATAAGCTATTAAAATAATTTATATTTGTGATGAAGGGGGAAATCATTTCTTTACATAGTCCTTTTCTTTTCTTTTTCTATTGTCTTAATTTTTTTCCTCCTTTCCTGGTTGTTCTTTTCTTTTCTTTTTTAGTTTGCATTAGTTTTTACCTTTTTATTTTAATACATTTTGATAAAATCACAACGAAAAAAAATAAGCAATCAACATAATGCATGGGAGGCAGCTTCATATGTTCCAGAATGTCCTTCTGGTGCAGATAGGAAATGTGCAACAGAGAGAAGCATTTTATATTGTGGGTACCAGAGAGAGGCCAAAAGTTGCAATTCATTTCCTCCCTTTTAACGTCCAAATCCATATCAGGTTATGCCTGGTGTTTATTCTGTAAGGGGGAAAAAATCACTACTGGTATGAAAAGTATCGCTTCTTTTTTTTCTTTTTTATTTTAATAATCTTTATTTACATTTTCAGTTAAAAAGAAAAGACAACACAACGTAAAATGACACACAAAGAACAATAAAACAATGAACAAGCATACTTCTATGTAGTACCTTAATAAACAAATAATCGGTACTATAACTCTATATTATAATCCGGAGAAGACAGAACAGTTTATATACCTTAATACATCAATTAGGTCTATCCGACCTCATTTATCTTATACGGTATAAGTTTCTCAATAGATACCATTCCTCATCTAATGTGGGTTATAGTTTCCTCTTTTCTAACCATTTATAAAAATTTTCCCAAGCTAAACCTACTTGTGTTTGCTCTCTATCCTTTAATTTTTTAGTTAGCATATCTGCTTCCGCACATTCCAAATTTTTTTTATAATAGCCTCCTCTGTTGGGATATTTTGATTTTTCCAAAGTAGTGCCAAATACCATAAGTCCCTTTTTATATTTTCCGGCTGAAAAGTATCAAGAATCTGATTCAACGACTAATAAAGATTCTGAAAGAGGAATATATTAACCTCTTTTAAAACACCCTGATCGCAAAGACATTCCTGAACAGGCAAGGATAATCATGCCTCCCACAATAGCATCTAATCGCCTAACTGAACTCTTTTCTAAAACTGAATCCTTCTGAGAAGGCATCATTAGTTGGGTGGGTGGGTGGGAGGTGTCTATTTATGCCTTCCTCATGTGAATGCAAATACACATTCATGAGACACACTTGTGCCAAAAATAGCCATCGCTTGAGAATGTGCAGATAGAGTTGCTGGCAAATGCCGTACACGCTGAAAACAGTAGTGGGAAGATGCCAGCTGTAAAAGCGAACCAGAAAAATGAAAAAAAAAACGGGGCTTGCATATCAGAGCCTAGGGGAGGCAATAGGGAACAGAGAAAGTGAGGGGGGGACCAGTTTTCATCCATTTACATTAATGTGCCTGTTTTGAAAAACCAGAGGTGGCTGATTTGATAATAAAGGGGTTTGCAGAGCCAGAGGGACAGTTTGGCTGCATCCAGTGAGACTCCTGGCCCAAAGATCTGACGGCCTTGATGCAAAACCATGACCGGCTTATGATTACTTGCCTTTAAGCAGCAGGAGCCTTGGCATAGAGAAAGCTTTAGCTCATTATTTGCTGCTGTAATTATTTTCCAGAGGAATTGTTTGAAAACAAAGGAAAACCTTTCCAATCCAACAGAAGCAGCTATTCGGAGCTAGTGCTATGGCTCATATAAAAGCTAAACCTACTGCCTACCTCAACTGTGCAGTGACTCAGCTGCCAAACACATGAAGCTAGAGGGTACAGAAGCTATCTGCCATGGTTTGATTGCCATTGTTTGCCATTTGAAACTTGTCATCAGCACAATGTGCTATTCATGTTGCTTTACCTTCGTAATTGATGACCTAGGCCTTACTGAACAGAACCTGGAACCGAAGGTGAGCTTTTAAAAACGTGGAGATGGACATAGTCCTGCCTGCTTTAAAGGTAGGTGATGTAGCTTTAAAGGGGCAGCAACTGGCAGCTTTATTAGCAGCAATACAGGATGAATGGAAAGTCGTTTCATATCTAAGCAGTATGGGATGAAGGGGAAATAGCCAGTGGTGGGATTCAGCCAGTTCGCACCACTTTGGGAGAACCGGTTGTTAACTTTCTGAGCAGTTTGGTGAACTGGTTGTTGGAAGAAATCATTAGGGCAGAGAACCGGTTGTTAAATTATTTGAATCTCACCACTGGAAATAGCCATATAAATCGATACACACAAGCTGAAACCAACACTTGATTTCAAATCAAGGAAGACTGAGAACATCCAGCGAACTGAACAGGATTCAGAAATGTTAGGCAAAACCACTCAGAATTGAATAGTGTGCACTTCAACGCAGCCTTTTGCAACTGGGGAGCATCAAAGAGGGTGAGAGGGGGCTAAAAAGAGGGTCCCACAACTGAAAGATTCTAGGCCACTTCCCAATAATGGCTTGGGATTGAGATTTACCAGGCCACAGAATGAGGGCAACCTGCTTTAGAATGGCAGTTTAGAAAAAGAGCAAAGGGTTTTTGTTTTGTTTTTTGCAAAAAGTTTTTTTTTTATTTTTTTTTTCCAACACACAAATTACATCTTTTCGGAACAGAGCCTTGATCCGGTCATCAATTTATACAGGGTTTTTTTCCCCCCATCTTTACAAAAGTTTGTATATTCTATTTTGCCATAACACTTATTTCTTAATCTTAACTCACCTATCTCAACTAATACCATCTTTAAAAAAAATTAAGTCAAATTTACTTAATCAAAACAATTACCCTTCTATTAACCCCCCCTTAAATCTTAATTCAGTTAATATTTCATAGTACATTTTACAATTCTTACCCTAAATCCTCACTATTAACAATACTTAATCTTAAATCACCTATCTCCCCTATTACCATCTTGTAAAAAGTTTACTCTTATTTATTTCATCAAAACAATTACCCTTCTATTAATCCATTTTAAATCTCAATTCAATTAATACCTCATAATACATTTCACAATTCTTAGCCTAAATCCTCACTATTAAGAATACAGGTCAAACATGTTTATGTTTCAAAATCTTATTTCCCTTTCTAAAACTTCCCCACATTTTTATTTTGTATAATGTTCAATAAATCTTTATTTCCCTACTACTTCATCAAATTTAGATCCTATCTCTAATCCCAAAAATATAGCAATTTAACATTGAAACATAGTTCTTAATTCAAATAAGACTATAATACAATTTTCCAATTATTTCCCACAATTCTATCTCTTTAACCATACCATTTGTTAAAAAACCAGTTTGAGTAATTCTTATTTGTAATTCATAGTCCTATATTATTTCAGTCTTCTTTTCTTTTTTGCTTAGATAGGTGAAACTCGAAAAATTAGAATATCGTGCAAAAATTCATTTATTTCAGTAATGCAACTTAAAAGGTGAAACTAATATATGAGATAGACTCATTACATGCAAAACAAGATAGTTCAAGCCTTGATTCATCATAATTTTGATGATTATGGCTTACAGCTCATGAAAACCCCAAATTCACAATCTCAGAAAATTAGAATATTATATGAAATCAATAAAACAAGGATTGTACATAGAACAATATCGGACCTCTGAAAAGTATAAGCATGCATATGTACTCAATACTAGGTTTGGGTCCCTTTTGCATCAATTACTGCCTCAATGCGGCGTGGCATGGATGCTATCAGCCTGTGGCACTGCTGAGGTGTTATGGAAGACTAGGATGCTTCAATAGCGGCCTTCATCTCTTCTGCATTGTTCGGTCTCATTTCTCTCATCTTTCTCTTGGCAATGCTCCATAGATTCTCTATGGGGTTCAGGTCAGGCGAGTTTGCTGGCCAATCAAGCTCAGTAATCCCATGGTCATTGAACCAGGTTTTGGTACTTTTGGCAGTGTGGGCAGGTGCCAAGTCCTGCTGGAAAATGAAGTCAGCATCCCCATAAAGCTCGTCTGCGGAAGGAAGCATGAAGTGCTCCAAAATCTCCTGGTAGACAGCTGCGTTGACCCTGGATTTAATGAAGCACAGTGGACCAACACCACCAAAACCAACACAGACTGTGGAAGCTTCACACTGGACTTCAAGCATCTTGCAGTGTGTGTCTCTCCATTCTTCCTCCAGACTCTGGGTCCTTGGTTTCCAAATGAGATGCAAAAGTTGTTCTCATCAAAAAACAGGACTTTGGACCACTGAGCAACTGACCAGTTCTTTTTTTCTTTAGCCCAGGTAAGACGCTTCTGACGTTTGTTGTTCAGGAGCAGCTTGACAAGAGGAATACAACATTTGAAGCCCATGTCCAGGATCTGTCTGTGTGTGGTGGTTCTTGATGCACTGACTCCAGCCTCGGTCCACTCTTTGTGAAAGTCCCCAACACTTTTGAATGGCCTTTTCCTGACAATCCTCTCCAGGCTGCGGTCATCCCTGCTGCTTGTGCACCTTTTTCTTCCACACTTTTCCCTTCCACATAACTTTCTATTAATGTGCTTTGATACAGCACTTTGGGAACATCCAACTTCTTTTGCAATTACCTTTTGAGGCTTTCCCTCCTTATGGAGGGTGTCAATGATGGTTTTCTGCACAACTGTCAGGTCAGCAGTCTTTCCCATGATTGTGATTCCCACTGAACCAGTCTGAGAGACCATTTAAAGGCTCAGGAACTCTTTGCAGGTGTTATGGCTTACTTAGCTGATTAGAGTGGGACACTTTGAGCCTAGAATATTGAACCTTTTCACAATATTCTAATTTTCTGAGATTGTGAATTTGGGCTTTTCATGAGCTGTAAGCCATAATCATCAAAATTATGACAAATCAAGGCTTGAACTATCTCGCTTTGCATGTAATGAGTCTATCTCATATATTAGTTTCACTTTTTAAGTTGCATTACTGAAATAAATGAACTTTTGCACGATATTCTAATTTTTCAAGTTTCACCTGTATTATCAAAAATATTGAAAATATTGAAAATATTAAAGTTATTGAAAATATTCAAATTATTGCAATTGTTATAGGTATTTAAACAATATCCCAGTTTTTATAGTCATCAATTACT